AACAGGATATTTTTGTTTAGCCGGTCACTTTTTAGCCCTTTCATAAATAGATAGATTTATTTTTTTGCATGTTTAATCAATTTATAATTTGTTTAAATTCTATAATTATATCAGACAACAGTACTGCTATCGCGAGAAAGAAAAATTATGTTTCCACAGTGGGGTGTGCAAAGACCCAGAGGGAAAAGGAAAAAAAAGGGGGCTTTTAAGAAACAAGTCCAGACCTCTTGTATAAAAATTTTAGAAATACATTTATTCAATAACTCGTAGTATACATTATTTCAGATAAAAAACAAAACAAAAACAAAATACATAATCATCAATAAAAATACATATACATATGCAGGTTCACCAGTTGGTGACAATACCGTGCAGTTACGATGTATGTTGTTGCTTGTTATCGGAATGGTATAAGCACTCCTATAGGTCCCTACATGTTTCGCCCCGAAAGGGCTTCTTCAGGGGAGAAAGACAATTCTATGGTAGATATGTGTCATATGTATATCTTCACCATCAGTTAGTCAAGGAGGCAGAGATGTAGTAAAACGCAACTGCTTCAAGTTCAAAATAGAGGATTGGTTTTGTCAAACATGAAACGCTAAAGGCAACTAAGATGGAGGGATCGCGTCGGAAACAGCACCCTGTAATCCTCAGGAAACACAGGCAGCCGGCACAGTAGACTTAGAGGTCTATGGATTTCCGCTTATGCCGTGTGTAGTATTGCTGTTCGTTTCCCGGACGTCTGCATGTACAGTACATTTGTTCTGTGCAAATGAACCAGCTGTTGTGAGAATGGAACAAAATCAGATGTTCTTAAACAGAGAGAGAGACGGAGCTTAAGATCATGGGACATAAATATATCTTAACCAGAGATATAATTCTAGAAAATGCTGGGGGGAATTTGCAGCAAAATGCAACCATTGCTACTATGGGTAGCGATGGTTACTTTTATCTGTAAATTCCCTCCGGGGTTTTTTCTATGATCCTTAGCCCCATCTAGTAGCCATAATGCGGTATTTCACGGACGCCCTGCTGCCCAAAGTATTTGAAGAACATTCAAAAAGAAGAGAAAATAGCCTTAAGAGCATTTGATTTTGCCCCATTCCCACAACAGCTGGTGAATTTGCACAGAACAGATGTAAATGTGGTCTGAAAGAAGAACTGCCTGTGTTCAAAGTAATGATTCTCCCTCTCATTTTTCCACCTGCACTGACACACTACAAAAAAATATGATTGTATATTTTTATTTGTAATATATATATATATAATATATGTGTGTGTGGTAAGGGACAATGCTAATCTAAGCTGTTATTGTGTTTTTCTCGGCCAGTATTGTTTCAAATATTTTTAGACAGCTTTATATTCTTTTACATTTATAGTTTACAGTTATAATTACAATTATCAGAGTTCAGTCATGTACACACACTGGTCTGACCATGAATGAGTACAGAAGTATGTTTCATTTTAGGTTGATTACTTACGCCAAGTGGCATTCTAACAGTCTAGCTTCCAGCAGAGTACTTGGCAGCCAATATACTCTAGAGTAACAGAGGTGAATACATTTGTTTTAATTACCAGCTAACAGTAGAGAACTCTCTAATCGATACACACAGCAGTGACACCGTATAGTAGTGGTTTTCTAAACACGTCGAGCTCAATGGACGACGGGAGGAAGTCACAGCAGAGTTTGAGGGTCTTGCTGTAAACTCGAGCTTTGCTGTTTACCTGTTTAAATTCACAGCTTCATCCTGGAATCTCTGCCAAGCAACTTATGGCACATTGAGCTGGGAACATTCTCAACTTTATTTAAAGATCAGCTGCACTTGAGCAGAAGTTACTGACTTTTAGACTGTTACCCTATTTCATTGAAATCTCAAACCAGAAATATTTACTTGTCTGTCTTGTAAATGCCTAAACTAGAAGATAATCACAGTCACAATGGACTTGATAGAACCTTGCTAGAATTCATATAGTGAAAGTTTTGGCTACTACAGTCTATGAAACATACCATAAGAGTCCACCAGAAGTGATTGTTCTGTTTGGCTATTGTTGCATTGGAATCTACTGAAAAATGTCAGAGCTGTCTATTAGATACAGTGGTGGTGCTGGTGCTGGATTTCCCTTTGTTCTGGGATTTATAAAGTAAGGTGCAGTCATGCATGTCGGGTATCCTCAAACTTTTGTCCATATAGTGTACAATGTTATACCTCCAATACTAAAAAAAAAGGGGTACAGATACCTAATCTAGTTGTGGCAAAAAATAATAAAAGCCTTTAAAAATAGTAAAACATCTGCTAGCAAAGATATTGCAGTTTGTGACAGTAAAAAATGAATACCAAGAATCATATAGTTAGCGATAGTTCAGAGTGACATATACAAATGGAACTGTTTGTTCAAAAGAAATAAAAAACTTAGGTCAGGTGGAGACCAAAGAAATTGCGAATAAATAAGTGGATGCGAAGAGGTAGGAAACAAAGACCAGAGATACTCGGCATGCATTAAAGGAAGACTGTCAGGGATACATTTAGTTCTTAACATAATGCATACCTGGTATTTTGGGAGGCTCTGGTGGCATATCAGGCATTGGGTGACCAAAGTAGGGCAAGGGTAAGTACCCCTAGATATGCAATGGCACATTTTAATAAAGCTATATACATTGATTTATAAACATGCTTTAACATTTTTTTAAAGGGACTTACAGTACATATTCAAATTATTCACCTTCCACATATCTTTAGACAGTGTCTTCATCACCAGTGTCTTGCAGGGTACACTCTTACTCAAACTGTGAGATCTTGTGAGCTTTTCTGAGATCTCTGGAACAAGTTTAGTCATCTTTTTTTGAGCTCATGTGCACAGATAATTTGCATGCTGGGGATCTGGCATGGACGGTGGGCTGGCCCAGAGAACGAGGCAGAAAGAGCTGGCCACTCAGTGTGGGGTGGACAGAGCCATAGGTTTTTGGAATTTGGATTTTGATAAATAAATGAGGCAATCAATCATCACAATCATAATGTGTTTCAAAAGGAACGTTTTTTTTTAATGCTGGTGGTAGATTAATTGTGTGTGTTGGTGGTGGAGGATCTGTTATAGGATCAAAAACAAGTATTTTAAATTAATTTAGTAAAAAAAAGTTTCTAGTAGAAGCAAATGCCACACCAGAGCCTCAGCATTTGTTACAATATTTAGTATTTAGGTTTTAAAGCTGAACTCAGCACAAACAGCTAAATACATGGATGACAACCATATGAGAGCTGTTTTTATTATTCCTTCCAATGATTTGTATTTATTGTATGTTCATTCACTCTACACAGCACATCCCTGCATTAAAGGGGAGAAGCCCTCTTTTTTTCTTTGCTGACCCTTCCCAGCCTGTGACTGGACAATGAAATGAGACTCATGAGTTTGTCTTTATCACTATACTTTTTTCTCCTATCAACATGTTCATTGCACTGCAGCACAAATTATTGTTCTTTTGCTGCTAGTCCCTCCCCCAGCCTGAGCTGTATTGTGCAGGGACTTGAAAAAGGCAAAACAGTTGCACCCCTGGCTTTCTGCCCAGCTCCTAGCAACAAAAGTTGCTAAGAGCTGGGCTGGGAGATGTGTAAGGGCCATACACATCTCCTCACCTGGTTCTTAGCAACCTGGGATGTTCTGGCCAGCATCTTGCCCAGCTCCTGGAAACCAGTGACATCCAGGGGCCCTGCAAAGCTCCCAAATGTTGCATTTATAGCAGAATAGTGAGTGGACAACATATTCTCTAAACCGTATACTGTGGCGCAATCCACCGGTAGTTCCCGTTGAATTCTGGAGTATATTGGTACGGTGTGTGAAGGAGATATCACTAAAGATTGGGATAATGACTCCAGAGCCTTCATCTTTAAAGTAGATTTAAAACCATCACTGTATGCCAATAACTTTCAACACCCTCTCCTGCCATTTTTTGGATACATACATATTACTTCTCCAGGCTCAGTCTGGTTATAACTGATAGAACAGAGCCCTCCACGGACGGTCCCAAAGCCACTTTCAGGAAGTATTCACTAGTAGGACCTTTCATTGGTTGACAGCGGCCATGTAACACCCTCCACCATTCTATTTACATTAACCAACAACTATGTATTGTGAGGATCTATAACAATTAATTCAATTTACATTCACTCCGCTAAGCACAAGAACTGCATAGTTATTAGTAGATCTAAAGGAGACTGTATAACCAGAATGTATTGTGTGTGGGCAGCTTTAAATTCCATTGTGGCAGCCCTAGTTGCATCAAACCTACATCTATGGTCTGTGAAATCTATTGTAACAGCATAGTACAGGCTAGGGCAGCACGCCATGTTCAAAGGAGTTGATTAATAACAGGACCAGTAGGACAGTGTATCAGACTTACAGGCTGCCCCTGTCTGCATGTATGTTCCAGTTTAACTCCTTGGCCAGTTAAATCAGGATCGAGACGCCAACTTGGGAACATGCACCTTTAACTTACTTTATTTTATTTTTTTCAGCATGTTAGTTTTTATTGATAGAATAAATGGTAACAATGCAGGTAAACTCCAAAGTGAAACAACACATGGATCAAGTAGCAGTGCGCAGACTGCGATCCAAAAATGTAGCTCGATTGCATGTGAACAGTAGTAAGGATAAAACATATCAACATCTGTTGGAACTACTTCAAAAATGTCTCTGTACTGCATGCAGCTGCGCTGGAACAACTATAACTGGTGAACCCCATTAACTTACTTTAAAGAAGTAGTCGCTGCAACCTTATTTCTGTCCTCACAAGCTCATTTTAAGCAACAAATTCGCACTTATGAATTCAGACGTGGAAAAAAATGGTAAAATCTTGACACTTAAAGATGCCTATATTGTTCAGTGACTCTGCAATAATGCATTTCTCCATTAAATTATATAGATCTAAGGGCTTTTTGTTCGCTTTGACATAGAAAGAAATGTATTTCAGATTTTTATGTCTTCTATTTTTTTTTTACCTTTTGTAGATATAATGGACCAAATCTTGTGTTGAAATACATCAAAGAAAAAGGTCGTCTAGAGAATATAGCAGTGGATGAACGCAGCTCTCCATATTATCCACTCCGGGATCGCCAGGGCAATGCCATTGGGGTCACCGCGTGTGATATAGATGGCGATGGACGAGAGGAGATTTATTTTCTGAACACGAACAATGCTTTTTCAGGTAAAAAGAATGCCAGCACACATGTAACTCATAAGTAGTACTTGTATTCTTTACATTGCTGTGTGATCTCTTTACAAAAGGTCATTCAAAATGTGTGTGTTTTTTTTTTTTTTAACCACATACTTTTTTTCTTCATATACTGTCGTGCACAGAATAAGATAAATCCACAATTTTCTCTGAGGTAGTTTGAAACTGACTAAAGTAATTGGCATCTATCATTGTGTGTTTCCTTATTTCATAAATAAAGCTCAACATTTGTTTGTTTTTTGATTCAACCAAATATTTTAAAAAATGAAACAAAAGAAAATGGCATGGACACAAACACTGGGACTCCTAACCTAATATTTTGTCAAGCAATTTCTGAGGCTCCCAATGAGACTTCTGCACCTGCCAACAGGTAGTTTGGCCCACTCTTCTTTAGCAAACTGCTCCAGCTGTCTTAGGTTTGAAAGGTGTCTTCTCCAGACTGCATGTTTTAGCTCTTTCCATAGATGTTCGGTAGGATTCAGGTCATGGCTTCTGGAATGTCACTTCAGAGTAGTTCAATGTTTTGTTTTTAGCCATTCTTGGGTGCTTTTAGATGTGTGTTATGGTTCATTTTCCTGTTGAAGGACACATGATCTGCGACTGACACAGCTTTCTATTTACTATTGTCACCAGCACACTAAATCCTTTTAGGATAACAAAGTCTTCATTTATTGAAGTTACTTGTCATATAAACAATCACTTTTGGGACCACACGGGGTCCCTTCATCAGGCTTAGCATTGACCATTCTACAGCACTTGTTTATATGACAAGTAACTTCAATAAATTAAGACTTTGTTATCCTAAAATGATTTGGTGTGCTGGTAAGATTACTACATATCTGCTGAGGTTTGCCGGGCCATCCGCAGTCACTGCGAGCACCCCACCCATTACAAGGGACTTTCGGTAAGGAGTGCAACAAGGAAAAGCTTTCTGACACAGGGCAGTTCATTTATCTTCTTCATAGTCTTGAGATTCCATTATGCCCTGCTGAGATTCAAGGCACCTCATGTCAGGCACAGCAAAGAAGTCCAAAAACATAACAGAGCCTCCTCCATGTTTTACAGTAGGTGTGGTGTTTGGCATTGTGGCTATTCAGTATGCATTTTAGCAAATTCCAATCTGGCATTTTATGTTTTTCTAGTCCTCCTGGGTCTTCCTCCTTAGAAGCCACTGTCGCCCAAAAAGCAACGGATGAGGCGGTCAGACACTGATGTATCTTGACCTTGGCGTTCAGCTTGTATATTTTTGGTTTTCATTGGCTCTTTGTCTTTGGTTTTTATTTTAAGTTTTCCTTGGCTCTTTGTCTACCATTTGCACTATCCTACTGTTCATTCTAGAGTAGATTTTCCTCTTGCAACCACATCCAGGTAGGTTGGACCTTAAGCTTCTTAATAATATTTGCAACCGTATTCACAGGAATATCAAGCTGCATGAAGATGGTCCTATAGTTTTCACCTTTGACATGTTGGTATATAATTTTCTTTTGGACCTCTTTGGTCGATGTTCAGTGTTGTGCACACAATCATAACAAACAGCAAAGTGACTGCTTTTCTGCATGTAAATAGGTGAACTGACTGATTACAAGATTACAGAGATATGTAATGTTAAAGATAGTTTGAAATATCACTATGATCCAATTACTTAAATCTTTTGTAGGGGTACTAACAAATCTGTCCATGCCATTTTAGAATATATTTGTAAAATAAGCAATCATTTATCTCTTTTTTACGCTTTCTTTGCTTTTCCCTATGCCATACCAAAGGCATGCATGTATACAGGAGACACTTGCTTTCGATGTAATCACTTTTCAGGAGAAATGAAGCATTGCTTTCATGAACTATCGGGGTATCATTAAGTGTCTCCACGTCTGTATGGTTTACATTTACTTACTATGGCTTTTACACCTTTTCTCTTTAATCTAATTTCCATTTGGAGTGATGCTTAGGTGATGATTACTTTCAAGGATTTTTCAGGGTCTGATTACCATATATATAATTTCTAAAAAAAAGTGGTCTCCTAATATGCATTTCATAGAGGTGTGCTCACAGGATTGGTTTACGTTCAGGTACAATAGGCAAGACCCAAGTCTACCGGTGCCAACAATTATGAAGCCCCATGGGGGAATTGCTGCTCCACAACACAGTAAGTGTCCCACAATGGAATACTTGGCAAGTTCAAAATTAAAATTTAGCTTTGCAAAACTGAGATCGTTATGTGAGGAAAAAAAGAGTAATCATGCTATCTAAAATGTTCCAGAGGATGCATAGAAAATACATATAATTCAGACCTGGTAATGTTTTTTTTATTTTTTTTGCTTGATCATTAGCTTTTACTTTTCAGCATGTGACAGATGCCAGGATTGTTCATTGCCCATGTGCTGCAAGCATGTTAGTAAAGAAATTGCAAGCAAACAGGCACTTTTCTTTTGTATTCAGTTCTGCTTTAATGTCATTAGTTGCAAAGAAAAATGTATAGATGCAATGCAAATAAAAGAAAAAAGGACATGGTTCCTGAGCTAATATGTGATGAACCGTTTCTTAGAATGATTTGTTTTGGACAGGCATATGTAGAGAAAGAGACAGCATATGCCTTTGAAAACACTCATCTCATAAAATCCCAACTCCTTGAATTTTAGGCTCCCCTCTTCTTAACTAGTCTCATAGGTGTCTGCCATGTACGCACACCAGCACATCGTCTGATTTATATTTATCAGATAAAATGTTTACGAGCATATGAATTCATGATTTAAAACAAATAGTATTTATACATTTACTATAAAAGGGACACTGAATGCCCAGTTGTGTTTTGCCTGCAGTTCAGGTACAAAAAAATAAAAAAAAACAGCCCACAATGACTCAGCAAGGAAAAGACTATTTGGTACATGTGCTCATGTGGATTGTTGTTTAGCTAAATGTAGCTTGTATCTTTTCCCCTTTAGTATTCAGAAGATGCATACTTATCATTTCAATAGCTCAACATCAAACTGCAGGTAAACCAGGAGCGAGGCGCATGCAAACATGAAAAAAACTGGAAATAAAACTGATGTTTATTTAAAGCCACGGCAGAGGAAATAGGCCCTTATAGTTGGGCTGAAACCGCGTTTCTGCATAGGGACTCAATTAGTAAACGTATTAAATCCAGTAAGCTTTTTGTGCATTAAGTATATTGTTTACTGATTTGTTTGAAAGAGTCAGTTAGGGATTCAATGATCTAGACTGAAAAAAAGACTCTTTGCTAGCTGAGTTATCTTTTTTTTATTATTATATAGGATTTATATAGCGCCAACAATTTGCACAACGCTTTCAAAATGGAGGAGACAGTACAGTTACATTACAATTTACAATACAATACAGTTTCAGTACAATAGGGTTGGGATTGCATAATTTCATATGTGCAAATGTATGTATGGTAAACTGATAATACTAATAATACTGTTAGAGCATTTCTGAAACAAAACATAAAGGGGTTGATTTACTAACCTTATAAACACACCACGAACATGTATACACCTCTGTAGTGTGTTCCCTCCCAGCATGATCTATGGGTGGAATCTAAACACCTTTGTAGTGTGTACACACCCAGCAGGTGTGTTGTGCAAAGCCCTGCATGAATTTGCTAGGTGATGTTGGGTAAATTAGCTCTATGTTGTGTTGCTTGCGTTGATGAATGCAGGAATGTAAATGCATGAGCTAACCATTTTTGTCTAAACTGTGAAGCAGCATTATATATGCATCATGTGCATGATTTTTCCATATATGGCATTAGTGGAAATATGCTTTTAGAGACTTTTTGGTTGATAAATACGTTTTGCTGTGTAAAAATCACAAGCACCTAGTGCGTGCGTGCGTGTGTTTAGGTTAGTAAATCACCCCCAAAGTCTCTTGTTGCTGAAATGGATTGGTGTTGTATTGGATTCTATTGCTGGCAATCTGTTGGTGAGATTAATTGGTGATGCATTTTGTCCTATGCGGGCAATCTCCTGTTGGTTAAATGGATTGGTGGTGTATTGGGTTCTATTTCTGACATTTTCCAGTTGGGGAAATTAATTAGTGGGATATTGGATTCTATTTTTGGTAATCTTCTGTTGGTGAAATGAATTGGTGGTGGATTGAATACTATGCTAAGTAGAAAGACAGGTCACCAGCACTCAAATAATTTAAATAAATTACCCTCACCAACTGAAACTTGAATACTATGCTGGCAATCTCCTGTTGGTGAAATGGATTGGTGGTGTATTGGATTCTATTTCTGGCATTTTGCAGTTAGTGAAATTAATTGGTGGTGTATTGGATTCTATTTGCTGGCAATCTCCTGTTGGTGAAATTGATTGGTGGTGTATTGGATTCTATTTCTGACATTTTTGAGTTGGTGAAATGAATTGGTGGCGTATTAGATTCTATTTTTGACATTTTCGAGTTGGTGAAATGGCAATCTCCTGTTACTAAAATGAATTGGTGGTGAACTGGATTCTATTGCTGGCAATTTCCTGTAGGTGAAATGGATTGGTGGTGTACTGTATTTTACTGCTTGCAATCTCCTGTTGGTGAAATGGATTGGTGGCATATTGGATTCTATTGCTGGCAATCTCCTGTTGGAAAAATGAATTGGTGGTAAATTGGATTCTATTTCTGGCAATTTCCTGTTGGTGAATTCAATTGGTAATGTGTTGGATTCTATTGCTGGATTAGTTGAAAGGCCAATAGCCTTGGAAAGAGTGGGTTTATGTGAAGACCTCTAGGTTCTCTTTGCCTGTTTGTGCCACCATTCGGGAATTTTCCTCTTAGTTTGTCTCACACTTGAAAGTGCAAGGAAATCTTCCCAGCAGAGGCGAAGCCAAGAATAAATAATTTTTTTCAGTCATGTGCTGGTAGTGTTATAGCTTGTGTCATTGCTGAGATTGATTCCCGTCACTTCCGAGCCAGGCAATAGGTGGTAGAAAGAACAGGATGTAATGAGAAGTTGGAGATGTAAT